CGAGACAACAACGAATGGGCATACAGATGAACAATTAGAACAATTAACCAATGGAACAACCTGCCTCCAGAAGTGGTGAATGCTCCAACACTGGAAGTTTTTAAGAAGAGACTGGACAGCCGTTTGTCTGAAATGGTGTAGGGTTCCTGCCTGGGCAGGGGGTTGGACTCGATGACCTCCAAGGTCCCTTCCAACTTTTTTTAATTATTATTATTATTATTATTATTATTATTATTATTACTACTACTACTACTACTACTACTACTACTACTACTACTACAACTAGCCTTGTGGTGTGGCCGGAACAATCTTTAACTGAACACACTCAAAACTGTAGCAATGACAGTAGGCTTTAGGAGAAACCCTACTATTCTACAACCTCTTACAATACTAGACAACACAGTATCAACAGTAGAAACCTTCAAGTTTCTGGGTTCTATAATATCTCAAGACTTAAAATGGACACCTAACATCAAAAATGTAATAAAAAAATCACAACGAAGAATGTTCTTCCTGCACCAACTCAGAAAGCTCAGACTGCCCAAGGAGCGGCTGATACAGTTCTACAAAAGAATTATTGAGTCTGTCAGTTGCACCTCTATAACTTTCTACAACCAAACAAGACAGACACAGACAACGGATAGTTAGAACTGCAGAAAAAACAATTGCTACCAGCCTGCCTTCCATTGAGGACCTGTATACTGCACGAGCAAGAAAGACGGCTGTAAAAATATCTACAGACCCCTCACATCCTGGACATAAACTATTTCAACTTCTTCCCTCAAGACGACGCTATAGGGCATTGCACACCAGAACAACTAGACATAAGGACAGTTTTTCCCCCCATGCCGTAACTCTGCTTAACAACTAATTCCTACAACACTGTCAAAATACTAGTAAAGATGTATTACTATGATACTCATCTTTCCTATTACCCATCCTTATCTTCTTATGACTATAACTTTGCTGCTTGTATCCTACAATTTATATTGGTTTTTTGTACCCTAGTACGATTTATGTTGCTTGCTTAGCTAGTACTCTATGACTATCACTAAGTGTTGCATCTTATGATTTATGATGAAGTGTTGTTTTTCACGATTTATGATGAATGTATTTTTATGTTGTATATGATCATGATTATCACTATTACTTATATGTACACTGAGAGCTTATGCACCGGCAACAAATTCCTTGTGTGTCCAATCACACTTGGCCAATAAAGAATTCTATTCTATTCTATTAAAATAAATATTAAAAAAATAATACTTATTTTGAAGAAAGCAAGCCTGAAAGCAGCAGATAAGCAACCTCATGAAGAACAATGGTTACCCGTTGCTTAGAAATCTACTCTTTTGTATTTAAAGAATGAGAAGTATTATTTGTAATAAACAAACAAACAAAACATAAGGACATTTCAGGTCTGTGTCTTATTCCCTGTTCACCACTGAATCATTTGCATAGACTCTCACATCACTCTACTTTTGTTTCTTTTCTTCTATTTTTATTTTATTCCAAGACTGACTTTGATACCACCAAATATAGATTTATTCCATATTCAAAATGTCTCATCGCTCAGTATACTTCACTAATTCTCAGTATTTAATCATAAACAATCAAATCCTTAATATATTTAGATTTATATCATTCTTTTGCCATGGGTGCATATAAAAAAAGTATGCTTTAAACCATATATTTGAAACAAACATACCTTCCACTTACTAGATGCTCACCAATCATTGTTCTCATTCATTCTTGGGATCCAAATGGCCCAGTCACTTTTTCAGTTCTCTTTTCTCACTCATTCCCACCCATCTAGTCATGCTACCTAATTGAATTCTGTTTTTCCTGCATCACATTCATGTACAATGTTGCACAATTGTTCCTAAGATTCTTCTAGTTCTTCCATTATCACTACTGAAGCACAGATCCAACTGATGTCAACGCTGCACTTTGTTACTTTGTATCTAGGGGAGGGAAATTTAGTTTCTGGTTTCAACTATATAGTGCCCATACTTTGTTTCTCGAATAAAAGATTCTTTAAGGTAAACAATGCCTCGAAGTTTTTTTGAAGAGTTTCATCTGTCAGAACCATGACAATTATCTTTACTCTGATTTTTTACATTCTTCCTATTTCTCTTACTTCCACACACACACATATATAACATTTTACTATTGATTCCTTATAATTTTTTAATCACAATCTTTATGCCATGGTCAGCTAGGCTCAAAGATACTGAGATTTATGGCTTTATGATTATGGTTAATAATATGATTTTCACCTGATTGTTTTTAAGAGAAGGCATAGACCAGAGGTGTCAAACTCGCGTCACATGACGTGTTGTGACGTATTGTGACTTTTTTTCCATTGCCGGCAATAGGGTGGACGCGGTTTCGCCATGATGCATCCGACCCGTTGGCTGGCAGTTTGACACCCCTGACATAGATTATACTATAACCTCATTTAAACTTCTGCCACATACAACAGAATCAGTGTTGAGTTGGTAGGCCTTATCAATCTAAATTATAAACAAACAGACAAGTGAATAAATGTTCTCTGCTAACAATAAGGACAATAGTAGTTTGTTTTGGCCTATTTTAACCAGTTTGCTACAAGCACCATCAAAGTTCAATTAATCATAGGCATGCTCCTATTATTTTGCACAATTTAGCAACTCTAATCAAGAAACTGACCACTTTACAAGCCAGCATACCAGAACCCACATATCATTCAGGAAAGATTGTCTACAATTATTATTCTATAAGGAATTTCTCCTAATTTCTAAAGAAGCCAAGATTTACTCGTAATATTGGTACAAAAACATTTTGAACAATTGACTTCTCTTGTACAATGCTTTAGAATGATGTAAAATGTAATTCTAATTAAATCCCCTGTGATCTTCCAGTGATTAATTAAAGACACATTTCTTAAAACATTCCATCCAAATGTAGGGCAAAAGGCTCAATCATAGCATTCAGTGAACTTGTGAGGGTGCTGAGATGTGGGAATCAGGCTTAAGTTCCATGGTGTGACCAAATGTGAAATTGATACAGAAAAGATATCTTGGTTTTAGGAAAGTAGAAGATGTAAGAAAGAAACTCAAAATGGCTCCATCTGGGGCTCTGAAGTAGAGCAAGACTCTGACAGGTTTTCAAGATCCTAATAACCCAAATTGCATTAAAGTGCTTTCCTAATGACTTCTGTTTCCTATGCTTGTCTACCTCAAAGGTTAATTACTGCTTGCCTGAAGGAGATTCACATTTTTTGACAGGCTTTTTTAAGCAGTATTTTTGAAAAGGAAATAACCAGAATGAAGCTATTTTAATCACAACAATATAGTCCAGAGGACCTGATCCTCCATGTAATATCTTATAGACCTCCTCAAAGGGCACAAATCTTGCTACTTAACAAGAATTTCATGTAATACTTTTCATACCAGTGATTGCAGTTAGCAAACAAACATATGAAGTAAAGGGTGAGTCACATAATAAAGAAAATTCCATGTTATAACAATAAATTCACACAAGAGAATAACAGTGAGGCTTTATGTAAACAGTGGTTTTATGTAAAAGAGTAATGAAATAGAAAGTATTTAAATCGTATGTTATACTTAGGTGAGGTATGGAGATACAGAATTGTTAAACTCCCATGTGAAGGTGACAAAAGGAAAACATCTACTAGCCAACAGCAGAACAGAAACATATAGAAACATACAGACACAGTCACATATTTTATTGAACAGATTGAACAGTATTACACCAACTTGACAAGAGCTGCAGTATTTTTTTGTAAGTGGTATAGGAGACTACAGAGCCACACAGGGTGGAAACAACACATGTTCCACTTTCATTGGCCATGTATTTCTGAGAGGCACAGGAACCCAAGCAAGAAAGTAGCACCTATGGTGTCACCTAAGTTGCTGCTCTTGTAGGTTATGTATGGTACAGGTGAGGATGGTGGGGAACATCCTTTCCCCTGTGAATATTCAATGGTGATCTGGTTTACCTGTGGAGAGACAACACAGACATGGGGGTAGTAATGATTAATGAGTAGTAATTGTTACAAACATGGTGGGTTGGGTTGGTTCAAGAATAATATTCTGCTCCTGTCCCAGTCCCTTTTTATTATTGCTGGCTTCTTCTGAGATTGATACTGGAATGTTTGCCCAGAAGACAATACAATAATTGAAACAATACTCACCCATCTGATGTGAAAATATGGAGTGATTTCTGTTTCTAGCGACTATTCTTTTGGGGGAGCCTCACACTAATCCTGAAAAAAAAAAGGATTTCATGAGTATTGGATCTTCCTGTTAAAACAACTAAATGCTTGATATTTCCAACTACTGTATCTATTAGGGCTGTGCAGTGTTCCAAATTCAGTTCCAAAAAGGAGACTTGAAATGTGTAAGAACACAAACAGAGCAACTCTCTGCAACTCTTACAGCAGGGGCATATTTTCTCTGAATTCTCTCCCTCTTGCACAGTCCATTCACATCAAGTTGCTCATATTACAGCAGACACATATACAAACTATTAAATAAAAAGTAAGGTATGAATGTTAACAAAAGCAGAAGCTTCTCACAGACTAGGATTAATCAAGTAGGAGATAATCCTGGTTCACACATTCTATGTTCTAAAGCAATTCATTCATTTTTGGTTTGGCCATGTGTGACTATCTTCTATGAGCCAGGGAGTCTTTTAAATTTCAAAATCATATTTTAAGGAATAAGATTCTTTCCTACCCCTCACC